GGTTGAGATCTGGAGACTGGCTAGGCCACTCCAGGACCTTGAAATGCTTCTTACGAAGCCACTCCTTCGTTGCCCGGGCGGTGTGTTTGGGATCATTGTCATGCTGAAAGACCCAGCCACATTTAATCTTCAATGCCCTTGCTGATGGAAGGAGGTTTTCACTCAAAATCTCACGATACATGGCCCCATTCATTCTTTCCTTTACACGGATCAGTCGTCCTGGTCCCTTTGCAGAAAAACAGCCCCAAAGCATGATGTTTCCACCCCCATGCTTCACAGTAGGTATGGTGTTCTTTGGATGCAACTCAGCATTCTTTGTCCTCCAAACACGACGAGTTGAGTTTTTAGCAAAAATATGACATTCTCCCAATCCTCTTCTGGATCATCCAAATGCACTCTAGCAAACTTCAGATGGGCCTGGACATGTACTGGCTTAAGCAGGGGGACACGTCTGGCACTGCAGGATTTGAGTCCCTGGTGGCGTAGTGTGTTACTGATGGTAGGCTTTGTTACTTTGGTCCCAGCTCTCTGCAGGTCATTCACTAGGTCCCCCCGTGTGGTTCTGGGATTTTTGCTCACCGTTCTTGTGATCATTTTGACCCCACGGGGGTGAGATCTTGCGTGGAGCCCCAGATCGAGGGAGATTATCAGTGGTCTTGTATGTCTTCCATTTCCTAATAATTGCTCCCACAGTTGATTTCTTCAAACCAAGCTGCTTACCTATTGCAGATTCAGTCTTCCCAGCCTGGTGCAGGTCTACAATTTTGTTTCTGGTGTCCTTTGACAGCTCTTTGGTCTTGGCCATAGTGGAGTTTGGAGTGTAACTGTTTGAGGTTGTGGACAGGTGTCTTTTATACTGATAACAAGTTCAAACAGGTGCCATTAATACAGGTAATGAGTGGAGGACAGAGGAGCCTCTTAAATAAGAAGTTACAGGTCTGTGAGAGCCAGAAATCTTGCTTGTTTGCAGGTGACCAAATACTTATTTTCCACCATAATTTGCAAATAAATTCATTAAAAATCCTACAATGTGATTTTCAGGATTTTTTTTTCTCAATTTGTCTGTCATAGTTGACGTGTACCTATGATGAAAATTACAGGCCTCTCTCATCTTTTTAAGTGGGAGAACTTGCACAATTGGTGGCTGACTAAATACTTTTTTCCCCCACTGTATATACGTAAGATACTGAGGAAAAGTGAGAGATTGATTGATTGATTTTATTTGACACAATACAACCACAATGCAGATAATAGCTTCTAATTGTGTCAGAATATATCTCACTCCTCACAATCCATTGTTTTAATTCACTTTGCTAAGTCCTGCTGCTTTTTCATGCCATTTATCACCAAACAGTCAAAAAGGTCAGAGACTGAAGCGGTGACAGTGTGTGTGCCTGCCTGCCTGCCTGCCTGCCTGTTTGTGCGTGTGCGTGTGCGTGTGCGTGTACATGTTGTGAAATAGATGCACCCTGTCAGAGGAGGAGAGTTATGTCAGAAGACTAGAATGTGGGCAGGTCCCAGACAGTATGTGGACTGCGACAGCTTAATGAAAGGATTGGGGTGTTGACTGCTGGCCTAAATACCTCCTTTCTCCCCTCAATGGATGCTGTTATTTATGTCACTGTGTCACAGTCTGAACACACTGGCCTGCTATGATTACCATGACCTCTGCCTTTCAACCAAAGACAAAGACAAGGAAATGTCACCTGCTTTAAAGAACCTTGTATCACAGGTGATACAGGCAGGAAAGAGTGACAGCCACCCTCTCCCGCTTCCCCTTCCCCCACCCTGTGTGTGTGTGTGTGTGTGTGTGTGTGTGTGTGTGTGTGTGTGTGTGTGTGTGTGTGTGTGTGTGTGTGTGTGTGTGTGTGTGTGTGTGTGTGTGTGTGTGTGTGTGATATGGGCAGAGAAACAAAGGGAAGAGGAAGGCTTGGAGAGGAAACTTGAGGTGCCTCACCATCTCGCATGGCTACATCGGCTTGACCTCTCACCTCTTAGGGACTAGTGACACCAGTCAGTCAAAGAAAATCCGGTGGGTGAGTGGTTAGTGGCGGGCAGGGAGCTAAAGCTTACGAATTTGTTTTGAAAGATACCTTACCCCTCCATTGTTCTCCAATTACTTAGCATAGTAATTAAGATTACCATTCAAAGCTAAGAATGCATTCCAAAGCAAAGGCTCAGTTGTGTTTTGCTACTCAATGATCTACATACTGTAGGAATGTGAATAGGTTTGATTGCCTTTGAACCGTCCCTGCCCCTGAAGGACCATTTTGAGTGTGAAGGCTAGGCTATGCTCTGATTCATGTATAAATATTGATCCCTCCCTTCTCAATAGGAAAAGAGATGTGCTTTGTCTGCCTAGCAAGAGTTTAAGAACGTAGTGCGTGCCAAAGCCGCCGCAGCATTACGGCTACTTTTCATACTAAGCTGTAGGCAGAAGTTTACCGAAAGTTTGGCGGAAATAAAAGTTTTGGCTTTGATACCGGAATTACCTTTCAGATATAAAGAAAAGGCAGAAAAAAAGTTGGTGGTATGGTAAAGTTGGCAGAAAAACTTCTTAGTATGAAAGGGATATAATACTCCCTTATAGAGATTGTATCTCTATGCATCTCTATGCCTCTGTGTGTTGAAGCTGCCTGTGTACACTGAGGCTGGGTTGGCAAAGCAGGAAGAGAACATGTAGTTTACATCTGAAATAGCTTCCTCTTCTCTGCAGCGTTGTTTAAGGTTTCACACTGTGTGTTTACTGACTTGCTCTCTCACCACTGCTGGGGAATAAGATACTGGCTGAGGGGTTGTTTTTCAAATAGTCTAAAGACATTTAGTTACTGACCTTTAATGAGAAAGCAAATGGTAATGAGTCAAGGCAGGACTGTGAATAGGCATGCTCGGCTGATGGCTCCACCTTTTTGTTACCCAATGCCAGTGATTTACAATCAATACCAGGAATTGGCATGCTATGGTTCTTCCTTCTTTGGGGCTCGCTTAGTTTACAGCCAATACTGACTAAATCAATATCATCCATAGACTCAACATCATATTATCCAGTATTCCCTACCAAGGGGGACGAACAGTAGACAGGGGTCCTGGAGGTACTACCCCGGAAATTGTTTTGACATAAAACATTTTTTTTCCTGCAATTCTACAGTTTCACATCTATTATGTCTCTCTTGAGGGGTATTTTGAAAACACAGTTTAAGTGGAAGGATGATTGGAAGCCCCCCCCCCCAACCCCCCCCAAAATTATAAATAATGTAGTTTTTAGGGAAAATAATTATTATAATAATAATATATGCCATTTAGCAGACGCTTTTATCCAAAGCGACTTACAGTCATGTGTGCATACATTTTTACGTATGGGTGGTCCCGGGGATTGAACCCACTACCCTGGTGTTATAAGCGCCATGCTCTGCCAATTGAGCTACAGAGGACCAACCAGAAAACAGATTTGCAACTTCCTGTATTTCAACACATTTTAACATTGGGCAGAGAAAAATGTGCTCTTTTATAGCTCATCTCATGCTATTCTTCACATTTTACCATGACGATGAGAGAAAATGTTGCAGTTTTAAAGTAACTGTCCAGTGAAAATCACACTTTTAAAAGTTTATATTCTGTGAACTCATACCCAAATCATTTTCTGTGAACATATTCTGTGAACTCATACCTCAAACTTGTATCTCAAACAGACCGTTTCAAAAATGCTTGCAATTTCCTCATAGAGGATGAGCTGGCCAATCAGCATGAATATTTTTAATGACCGGGGTACGCCCACACCAAAAATATGCTTTTTAACATACTTAATATTTTTTTTTAAATGGAAGGAAAACTATTTCACTCATAATGTCATTAATTAAGGTCATTTTTCATAGAAATCTGGAAACACTGGGCAGTTACTTTAAAGGTCGAAATTGTGCAAAAACGCAAGAATAACGTCTTTAAACAGTATAAATGATCAATGCACCATCATACCAGGTCATTTAATGCTTAAAAACAAACAAAAATGGATGAATAAGATATTTGGCTACAGAAGTGCCATTTCTTACCGATCTCTACAGCTTCCGTCCAAAGACAAATCCTGTGAATGTTCAATACGTACTGGAGGAGTAACTGGCTAGCTACAGTGGCTAGCTTAGCTAACCAACTAGCTACGTTGGTCGCGGCACACAGGATCAGAATGACACATCGATGAACCACCAAAGGCGCACTCCCTTTCTGTTTGAAAATTGAGAAAGAGGAGGAGTTGGACCGTTTTTTGCACCCAAAGTCGACCATTAAAGCTAATTTCTTGCAATTCTACACATTTTACCATTGCTCATCATATGCTATCTGACGAATCGACTTGTTTTGAATATTGGGGGGGGACATGTCCCGCCATCCCCTGTGGCAAATTCGCCTACTATAGCCTAAGATGCTCCATGAGTCTTGATGTGGGCCTACCCTTACTGAGCTCTATAACACCCCACTTTAATACATCTACACCAACGTAAGTGCTTCTTTACGCTAAAACTACCTTGTTGGCTCATTGAGAGGGATGTCTTGAGAGAGGGATGTCTTGAGAGAGGGATGAGAGAGAGAGATGAGGGGTAGAGAGAGACAGATGAGGGTTAGAGAGAAAGAGAGAGATGAGGGGTAGAGAGAGAGAGAGAGAGAGAGAGATGATGGGTAGAGAGAAAGAGATGAGGGGTGGAGAGAGAAATGAGGGGTAGAAAGAGAGATGAGGGGTAGAGAGAGAGGACACGGAACGCTTTCTCACGGCAACGGTCTCCACGGCGACAGTGTGACCCACATTTCCCCTTTATCTCGTCATCCTCGGAGACGGCCTGCTGGGGGGCGGTTTCCATTTCACCCGACGACGGAGACTGTGGCTGGCAGGTTGTAAAGTCACTGGGATGGAATGAGTGTGTAGTGGAGACTGAACTAGAGATAATGCTCTGAAAGGGTAAACAGCTAGCCTGCTGAATGTCTCTCTCTCTCTGTCCATCCCAGCCAGGTGAGGAATGCCCCAGACTGTGTTCCCAGCAGCAGGCACCATGTTCACCCCCAGTGGCTTCAGCCCCCACCTGGCCTCCACCTGCTCTGAGGCTGACCCTGAGGAGGAGGAAAGCCCCAAGGAGGCCCGAGGGCCTGGGGCTTGCCTGGTCGACGGACCCCCCATTACCTCCGCCTCTCTGGACACTCTCATCCAGCACCTGGTGCCCACCGCAGACTACTACCCAGAGGTAAACACAGCTATGAAGGGGCCACTAATCTACCCTGGTTGTAATGACCCCAGCCTCAGAAGTAGAAATAGTAGTAGGAATATAATGTTAATGATAATGGAAATACTGGATGTGTTTAACACATTGTTTCCCTCCACAGAAAGCCTATGTGTTTAACCCATTGTTTCCCACCACAGAAAGCCTATGTGTTTACGTTCCTGCTGAGTGCTCGTCTGTTCATCACTCCCCCTGAGCTGCTGGCCAGACTCTGTGAGACCTGCATCAAACAACAGCAGCTGGACCAGAGTCCACTGGACACGGTCAGTACTGCTTACACACACACACACACACACACGCTTTCCAACCCAGTGACTCTGACTGGGTCTCCTCCCAGGCTAAAGTGAGGAAGTTTGGTCCCAAGATCCTGCAGCTGCTGACTGAGTGGACAGAGACGTTCCCCACAGACTTCAGAGAGGAGAAGATGGTGGGACTGTTCAAAGATATCATCCACAGGATAGCACCCTGTGATGAGGTGAGAGAGGGAGGGAGGGAGGGAGGGAGTATGAGAGGCCTAACCTTCATATGGAGGGAGGAGCGAGAGAAGAGAGAGAGAGAGAGAGAGGAGCTGAGAGAAGAGATATTTTTCCCTTCACTATCTACGAGCGAAGCCTACCTCTTTTGGTATCTCGGCTCTACAGCAGACTCTTTTTTTCGCTCTATCGTTCCCTCCACTGGGTCTAGATCTCTCTCTTTTTCGACGCTTGAGCGAGAAGGATGGTGTGGTAGACCTGCCTAAGGATACAGGAGAACGTGGCCCCCAAGGGGGGCCCTTTTTCCCCCCTTTTTTGCCTTTTTTTTTGGGGGGGGGGGGGGGGGGGGGGTTTTTTGGAAAAGGGCAAAAAGGGGGAATAAAAAAGGGGGGGGGGTTTGAGAAAAAAGGGGTTTAAGGGGGGGGGGGGGTGGGGGAAGGGGGGGGTTGAGGGGGGGGGGGGGGTAAAAAGGGGGGGAGAGAGAAAGAGGGGGAAGGGGGGGGTGAAAAAGGGGGGTTCTTGCATTCGTTCTGCAGCTTCGGGGAAAGAGAGAGAAAGAGATGGATGATGATGAAGGATAAGAGGGGCATGGGGATGAGGGGGAGGGGGAGGTAGAAAGGGATGGAAGATTGAGAGCAGGAAGGGGAGGAAGAGCAGGGAGGGGAAGTGGAGTAGGATGAGAGGGGGTGGATGCAAGGAAGGAAGAAGAGGGATGGAGAGCGAGCAAGAGGAGGCTGATGGTGATGAATTTGCAGCTATTTGTGGTTGCAGAGCAGAGCATGGCCCAGGCAGTGTTCTGGCTTCGGGTCATTTATGACACGCTACGGGTGATTTACTGAGACTCGACCTGCTGGCCCCAACCACCAGCCTTACAGCCATACAGATCAGCGGGGGAGGGACACACACACACATACACACACACACACTGGGGGGAACACAACACACAAATCAAATCAAATGTTATTTGTCACATGCGTCGAATACAACCTTACAGTGAAATGCTTACTTACAAGCCCTTAACCAACAATGCAGTTTTAAGAAAGAATAACAAAAAAAAAATAACAAAAAATACAATATAAAATAATACGAAATAAAAGTAACAAATAATTAAAGAGCAGCAGTAAAAATAACAATAGCGAGGCTATATACAGGGGGTACCGGTACCGAGTCAATGTGCGGGGGCACCGGTTAGTCGAGGTAATTGAGGTAATATGTACATGTAGGTAGAGTTATTAAAGTGACCATGCATAGATAATAAACAGAGAGCAGCAGCAGCGTAAAAGAGGGGTGGGGGAGCAATGCAAATAGTCTGGGTAGCCATTTGATTAGATGTTCAGGAGTCTTATGGCTTGGGGGTAGAAGCTGTTTAGAAGCCTCTTGGACTTAGACTTGGCACTCCGGTACTGCTTGCCGTGCGGTAGCAGAGAGAACATTCTATGACTAGGGTGGCTGGAGTCTTTGACAATTTTTAGGGCCTTCCTCTGACACCGCCTGGTATAGAGGTCCTGGATGGCAGGAAGCTTGGCCCCAGTGATGTACTGGGCCGTACGCACTACCCTCTCTAGTGCCTTGCGGTCGGAGGCCGAGCAGTTGCCCATACCAGGCAGTGATGCAACCAGTCAGGATGCTCTCGATGGTGCAGCTGTAGAACCTTTTGAGGATCTGAGGACCCATGCCAAATCTTTTCATCATCACACTCACAGAAGAAAAGGGACACATGCTCGCAACTGCACGATGGTGTGAAAGAGGGGTGTGAACTGTGAAGGAGAAGGATGTAGTCTGGAGAGATGATGATGGTGATGATGGATGATGATGATGATTGTGATGATGATGAGAATGGTGATGATGATGATGATTGTGATGATGATGATTGTGATGATGATGATGGTGATGATGATGATGATGGTGACGATGATGAGAATGTTGATGATGATGATGGTCGTGATTATGCTGTGGTGACGATTTGATGAGAAGTGTGATGTGATGATGATGATTATGAGGATGATGATTGTGATGATGATGATGATGATGATGATTATTGTGATGAGGATGAGGATGAGGATGAGGATGAGGATGAGGATGATGATGGTGATGATGGTGATGGTGATGATGGTGAGGATTGTGATGATGATGAGGAGGAGGATGAGAATGATGATGATGATGGTGTTGATCATGATTATTATTAGTTGTCTAATCATTCTAAAGTCTATATGTCCTCTCCAGGCGTATTGGAAGACACTGAACCAGGTTCTGCAGACCCTGAACCAGAAGCTGGCAGCCATCGCCCAGGGAGATGAGAGCATTGTCAAAGTGAATGCCTCCTCAGTCTCAGACAAGCTGGTGGCCTTCAAGACCAAGCCTCCACCTATCCAGAAGGACATGCTGTCTATCTGCAACGACCCCTACACACTGGCACAGCAACTCACCCATGTGGAACTGGTAAGAAGAGTGGTAGGAAGGATGGGAGGAGGGGATTAAAGGAGAGATGAAAGAGAATGAGATAAGGGTGTGATGGAAGGGAGAGAGATGATGAGAAGAGGAGAGAGGGGGAGGGAAGAGGAAGACAAACAGGCAAAGAGACAGAAACATGATGAGAGAGAGAGATGACACTAAGAGAGAGAGGAAGCAGAGGGGAGAAATGAATAGATACAGAAATAAATTGGAGATTAGGATAGATGTAGAATCAAAAGAGAGAGAGAGAGAGAGAGAGAGAGAGAGAGAGAGAGAGAGAGAGAGAGAGGAGAGAGAGAGAGATGCAGCACTGAAATCTTCCAAACAACTGTGTTAGCTTTGAATGGTCCTCTGTTAGCTATAGCCTACAGCTGAGTAACAGGCTTTGAATGGTCCTCTGTTAGCTATAGCCTACAGCTGAGTAACAGGCTTTGAATGGTCCTCTGTTAGCTCTATTCTACAGCTGAGTAACAGGCTTTGAAATGGTCCTCTGTTAGCTATAGCCTACAGCTAAGTAACAGGCTTTGAATGTTCCTCCATTTGCTATATTCTACAGCTGAGTAACAGGCTTAGAAAGGTGCTCTACAGACACAGAAACAAACAGGGCTGAGCAACAAAAGGAGCTCCTACTCTCACTGATGGAGTGTTGTGTTTGTGTGTGTGTAAGGGCCGTCCTCCGCAGGCCTGAGTAAGCATGTACTCTGGTCTGAAAAGCGTGAGATCATCTCAGAAGTCAGTGGTTTGCCCGGTGCCTTTAAGGGAATATATCCACAGTGGATATATGTGACCTGACAGCTTTACACAAACACACACACACACACACACACACACACACACACACACACACACACACACACACACACACACACACACACACACAATCTGGGACATATTTGTGAAACCCAGACACCACTCATCTCTTTGCTGCATTCCTATCAGTGTGGGTCAATGTGTGGGTGAAGATGCACTGTAGCTATGGGTGATTCTCTTTGTTGATATGACAACAGTGATATAGTACAGTTGAAGTCGGAAGTTTACATACACCTTAGCCAAATACATTTAAACTCAGTTTTTCACCATTTCTGACATTTAATCCTAGTAAAAATTCCCTGTCTTAGGTCAGTTAGGATCAACACTTTATTTTAAGAATGTGAAATGTCAGAATAATAGCAGAGAGAATGATTTATTTAAGCTTTTATTTATTTCATCACATTCCCAGTGGGTCAGAGGTTTACATACACTCAATTAGTATTGGGTAGCATTGCCTTTCAATTGTTTAACTTGGGTCAAACATTTCGGGTAGCCTTCCACAAGCTTCCCACAATAAGTTGAGTGAATTTTGGCCCATTCCTCCTGACAGAGCTGGTGTAACTGAGTCAGGTTTGTAGGCCTCCTTGCTCGCACATGCTTTTTCAGTTCTGCCCACAAATGTTCTATAGGATTGAGATCAGGGCTTTGTGATGGCCACTCCAATACCTTGACTTTGTTGTCCTTAAGCCATTTTGCCACAACTTTGGAAGTATGCTTGGGGTCATTGTCCATTTGGAAGACCCATTTGCGACCAAGCTTTAACTTCCTGACTGATGTCTTGAGATGTTGCTTCAATATATCCACATAATTTTCCTTCCTCATGATGCCATCTATTTTGTGAAGTGCACCAGTCCCTCATGCAGCAAAGCACCCCCACAGCATGATGCTGCCACCCACGCGCTTCACGGTTGGGATGGTGTTCTTCGGCTTGCAAAGCGCCCCCTTTTTCCTCCAAACATAACGATGGTCATTATGGCCAAACAGTTCTATTTTTGTTTCATCAGGCCAGAGGACATTTCTCCAAAAAAGTACGATCTTTGTCCCCATGTGCAGTTGCAAACCGTAGTCTGGCTTTTTTATGGCGGTTTTGGAGCAGTGGCTTCTTCCTTGCTGAGCAGCCTTTCAGGTTATGTCAATATAGGACTCGTTTTACTGTGGATATAGATACTTTTGTACCTGTTTCGTCCAGCATCTTCACAAGGTCCTTTGCTGTTGTTCTGGGATTGATTTGCACTTTTCGCACAAAAGTACGTTCATCTCTAGGAGACAGAACGCGTCTCCTTCCTGAGCGGTATGACGGCTACGTGGTCCCATGGTGTTTATACTTGCGTATTATTGTTTGTACAGATGAACGTGGTACCTTCAGGCGTTTGGAAATTGCTCCCAAGGATGAACCAGACTTGTGGAGGTCTACAATTTTTTTTTCGGAGGTCTTGGCTGATTTCGTTTGATTTTCCCATGATGTCAAGCAAAGAGGCACTGAGTCTGAAGGTAGGCCTTGAAATACATCCACAGGTACACCTCCAATTGACTCAAATGATGTCAATTAGCCTATCAGAAGCTTCTAAAGCCATGATTTCTGGAATTTTCCTAGCTGTTTAAAGGCACAGTCAACTTAGTGTATGTAAACTTCTGACCCACTGGAATTGTGATACAGTGAATTATAAGTGAAATATTCTGTCTGTAAACAATTATTGGAAAAATTACTTGTGTCATCCACAAAGTAGATGTCGTAACCGACTTGCCAAAAATATAGTTTGTTAACAAGACATTTGTGGAGTGGTTGAAAAACAAGTTTTAATGACTCCAACCTAAGTGTATGTAAACTTCCGACTTCAACTGTATGTGTGTTTTGTTAGGTTTATGTACTTTTGATTTCCGCTGCTTAGCCTCTGCGTACCAGGGGTCAGCTGTTGCTTCAAGGGAAGGTGATATTTGTAGATGATTCATGACTTCCTGTATTGCTTGGCTTCCATTACAGAGATTAATCTAGTTCATATGCACTGCCATGTCGCTCTACTCTGCTCTCTCTGTGTGTTTCAGGAACATCTCAGTCATATTGGTCCTGAGGAGTTTGTCCAAGCCTTCGTTCAGAAAGATCCACTGGATAGCACTCAGGTATAGTATAATAAAACTTTGAAATGTCTTTATTCTTTTGGAACTTTTGTGAGTGTAATGTTTACTGTTAATTTTTATTGTTTATTTCACTTTTGTTTATTATCAACTTCACTTGCTTTGGCAATGTTAACATATGTTTCCCATGCCAGTAAAGCCCTTACATTGAATTGAATTGAATTGAGAGAGGAGACAGAGAGATAGCGACAGAGAGACAGGGAGAGAGACAGAGAGGAGTCAGAGAGACAGAGAGGAGACAGAGAGAGAGAGAGAGAGAGAGAGAGAGACAGACAGAGGGAGAAAGAGAGAGAGAAAGAGAGAGAGAAAGAGAGAATGTCCTGATGTGCAGTATTGTGTGTTTGTGTCCCAGCAGCCGTGTTTCAGTGACCAGAAGAAGAAGACCACTAACCTGGAGGCTTACGTCAGGTGGTTTAACAGGCTGTGCTACCTGGTGGCTACTGAGATCTGCATGGTAAATGTTTTCACATGTTATTCTCTTCATTATGGTCCCGTATTGCTCATTTGGTAGAGCATGGTGTTTGTGACATAAGCGCTGTGGGTTCAATTCCCGGGGCCACCAATACCTAAGAATGTATGCATGCATGACTAAGTCGCTTTGGATAAAAGCATCTGCTAAATGACATATATTATATTATATTATAATATATTATATTATATTGTTATGCCGGTCTTCCCTCACCGAAGTTGATGATTCAGTCATGGTTCTTTAGTGTCACCTGTTGGCCATGTAACATTACTACACTCCTGTACCCCTTGTGAGGCATTGATACGTTCTTCCCAGACCAGGGCCTGTATCCACAAAGTGTCTCAGAGTAGGAGTGATGATCTAGGATCAGGTCCCAACCTGTCCATATAATCCTATTCATTATGATCTAAAAGGCTAATCTGATCCTAGATACAGGCCCTGGGCCAAATACTGTATATTTTGCATGTCATTTCCATCCATTATATCCCACTAGCAGCCTGTGTGTGTCTCCTCTCAGCCTGCTAAGAAGAAACAGAGAGCCCAGGTGATTGAGTTCTTCATCGACGTGGCCAGAGAGTGCTTCAACATCGGCAACTTCAACTCCCTCATGGCCATCATCTGTGAGTGTCTCGGTTGCATCCTACATCATACATGAACCAAATACTGATATTTGGCAATATACCGATATTTGACTTGTGTCTGCTCCTCTAGCTGGTATGAATATGAGTCCTGTGTCTCGGCTGAAGAAGACGTGGGGTAAAGCCAAGACTGCCAAGTTCTTCATCCTGGAGGTAAACCTCACCAACCAGCACAGCCTTAGATACCTTGCTAGAATGTTTATTATTTCATTGTTATTCTTTTTTTCTTTTTTTTTCTTTGGGGGGACACTCTTGAAAACTAGAGATTTCATCCTGCAACATGTCAAATAAATATAGAAAACAAATCTGTAACTTTACTGTACCTGTCTATGTAACTACCATGTAAAAACATGCTTTTAGCGCCACTGATATAGTATATTGTTTTTCCATCCAGCATCAGATGGACCCTACTGGAAACTTTTACAACTACAGGACAGCACTTAGGGGAGCCGTCCACAGGTCCCAGACTGCTAATAGCATCAGGGAGAAGGTACAGGCCACCATTCACTCTGTAAATACCCTTATCTGACCCCTACTCGTGCACTGAAACCAAGGACATGCATCATTAACTCTCTCTCTTTTTCTTAGATTGTGATTCCCTTCTTCAGCCTACTGATCAAAGACATCTACTTCCTGAATGAGGGATGTGCCAACCGCTTGCCCAATGGCCATGTACATTTTGCGGTAAGGCTGAAAACTTTGTACTGATATATACAAATGTGGATTTTACTCTCTCAATTCAATTAAATTCAAAGGGCTTTATTGGCATGGGAAACACATGTTTACATTGCCAAAGCAATCTCTCTCAATTCAATTCAATTCAATAGACTTTATTGACATGGCATGTAAAATTACTTACATTGTCAAAGTATAGATATAACAAAAATGGTGGTACCAACAGCAATAATAATAATAGTAGTAGTGGAAATGGGATTACCTGTCACGCCCTGGCTCTGGGGACTCTTAAATGTTGAGCCAGGGTGTGGATTTTCATTGTTTAGTTTACTATGTTTTTGTTCTAGATCGTTTAGATCTATGTTGGCCAGGGTGGTTCCCAATCAGAGGCAGCTGTAGCTCGTTGTCTCTGATTGGGGACCATACTTAGGCAGCCTGTTTTGCACCAGTTAATTGTGGGATCTTGTTCCGTAAGGTTTGTTTGGTATTTAACCTAGGACTTCACGTATCGTTTGGTTTGTTGTTTTGTTCGTGTTGTGTACTAAATAAAATGTACGCTTATCACGCTGCGCCTTGGTCCGTGTCTTCATCCGTGGTCCTCTGTAGCTCAGCTGGTAGAGCACGGCGCTTGTAACGCCAAGGTAGTGGGTTCGATCCCCGGGACCACCCATACACAAAAAAAATTATGCACGCATGACTGTAAGTCGCTTTGGATAAAAGCGTCTGCCAAATGGCATATTATTATTATTATTATTCATCCGGTAACGATCGTGACATTACCATTAACAGCAACTACGACAACAATATTAATGAGAATAACAATACATTAAAGCAATAGTAGTCGACCAATCTCAACATGACTGAGAAGACACATTACATGGTATGAAAGCCAAAACAAAACAGGAAATATTATTGACATTACATTACACTTTTCACTGGCTGTCCCTCAGGTTGTGGCAGGAGGACACATATTTGGCTGCCAAAATTGCACATTTAGGCTTTTCACCCAATAAATATTGGATTTTTTCCTTCCTCTTTTATAGTTTCAAATTCTTTGTACTGAATGATAATTTTGGGAAAGAAAGATTCTCTTAGGTCTGAGTATTTTTCACAGTGTAATAGGAAATGCAGCTCTGTCTCTACCTCTCCCCTGGAGCAGAGTGAGCACAGCCTGTCCTCTCTGGGCAGCCAGGTTTGCCTGTGACGACCGGTCTCTATAGCCAGACTGTGCTCACTGAGTCTGTACCTAGTCATTGTTTTCCTCAGTTTTCTATCAGTCACAGTGGTCAGATAGTCTGCCACCATGTACTGTCTGTTTAGAGCCAAATAGCATTGAAGTTTACTTTGATTTTTTGTGGTGTCTTTCCAATAGGTGATATATTTTTCTTTTTGCTTTGTGATGATTTCATTAGGCCAGATTTTCTGAGTGCTGTCCTGAGGCTCTATGAGGTTGGTTTTGGTTAGTGAACTGAGCCTCAGAACCAGCTGGCTGAGGGGACTCTTCTCTTGTTTCATCTCTTGACATAGTAGAGCTGTGTGATGGAATGTTTTGGGGTCACTTGTTTTTAGATGGTTGTAAAATTTGATGGCTCTTTTTTCTATTCGAATAAGGAGGGGGTATTGGCCCAATTCTGCTCTACATGCGTTATTTTGAGTTTTTCTTTGCACTTGCAATACAGTCATGCAAAACTCTGCATGCAGTATTTCGATTGGATGTTTGTCCCATTTGGTAAATTCAGTATTAGAGAGCGGACCCCATACTTCGCTGCCATATAGAGCAATTGGTTCTATAACTGATTGAAACATTTTGAGCCAGATTCTAATTGGAATTTTGATTTTAATATTCCTTTTAATGGCATAGAATGCTCTTCTTGCTTTGTCTCTCAGCTCATTCACAGCCATGTGAAAGCTACCTGTGTTGCTGATATTTAATCCTAGATACGTGTAATTTTTGGTGTGTTCTAATAGAACTGTGTCCAAATAGAATTTATATTTGTCATCCTGATTTCCGGACCTTTTTTGGAATATCATTATATTAGTTTTTTTTAGATTAACGGTCAGGGCCCAGGTCTGACAGAATCTGTGCAGATGATCTAGATGCTGCTGTAACCCCTCCTTAGTGGGAGACAGTAGCACCAGGTCATCTGCGTACAGCAGACACTTGATTTCAGTGTTGTGTAGGGTGAGACCAGGTGCTGCCGATTCTTCTAATGTTTTTGCCAATTCATTAATGTAGATGTTAAATAGTGTTGGGCAGCCCTGTTTCACTCCACGTCCCTCTCTCTCGCGCTCTCTCTCTCGCTTTCTATCTCACTCTCTCACTCTCTCTCTCTCCTTTTTTGATTTTGTTTTCAGAAATTTGTGGAGTTGGCTCGTCAGGTGGGAGAGTTTATGACGTGGAAACAGATAGAGTGCCCGTTTGAGACAGACAGGAGCATCCTCCACTACCTCCACACTGCTCCCATCTTTAGTGAGGACGGTAAGACACACAGTCTCACCTAACATGAGTCTTCAGTGAGGACAGTAAGACACACAGTCTCACCTAACATGAGTCTTCAGTGAGGATGATAAGACACACAGTCTCACCTAACATGAGTCTTCAGTGAGGACAGTAAGACACACAGTCTCACCTAACATTAGTCTTCAGTGAGGACGGTAAGACACAGTCTCACCTAACATGAGTCTTCAGTGAGGACAGTAAGACACACAGTCTCACTTAACATTAGTCTTTAGTGAGGACGGTAAGACACAGTCTCACCTAACATGAGTCTTCAGTGAGGACGGTAAGACACACAGTCTCACCTAACATGAGTCTTCAGTGAGGACGGTAAGACACAGTCTCACCTAACATGAGTCTTCAGTGAGGACAGTAAGACACACAGTCTCACCTAACATGAGTCTTCAGTGAGGACAGTAAGACACACAGTCTCACCTAACATGAGTCTCTGAGACGGTCACACACACATCTCACTACATTCTTCTGACGTACACTTCACCTACTGTCTTCATGAGACGTAAGCCAATCACCTACAGTCTTCATGAGAGTAAGAACCCACTAACAGGTTTGTGAGGACAGTGGAAAGACACCAGGTCTACCAATGATCAGTGAGGCAGTAAGACCATATGTCAGCCTAAATCAGTCTGATGTACCTAAGATCCATGATGTCTCTAATGTCTGATTAGCTAATGTCGACAGATGGAAAGCACTCAGGTATGACAGATATCAGTGATGTAGTCTAATGAGCCAGTGATGTAGCCTAATGAGTCAGTGATGTAGCCTAATGAGTCAGTGATGTAATCTAATGAGTCAGTGATGTAGCCTAATGAGTCAGTGATGTAACCTAATGAGTCAGTGATGTAGCATAATGAGTCAGTGATGTAACCTAATGAGTCAGTGATGTAGCCTAGTGAGTCAGTGATGTAATTTAATGAGTCAGTGATGTAACCTAATGAGTCAGTGATGTAGCCTAATGAGTCAGTGATGTAACCTAATGAGTTAGTGATGTAGCATAATGAGTCAGTGATGTAACCTAATGAGTCAGTGATGTAACCTAATGAGTCAGTGATGTAGCATAGTGAGTCAGTGATGTAATCTAATGAGTCAGTGATGTAACCTAATGAGTCAGTGATGTAGCCTAATGAGTCAGTGATGTAACCTAATGAGTCAGTGATGTAACCTAATGAGTCAGTGATGTAACCTAATGAGTCAGTGATGTAACCTAATGAGTCAGTGATGTAGCCTAATGAGTCAGTGATGTAACATAATGAGTGGCATAGTCTTAGCTTATTTAAACCACCTGTGTTTTCCCTCCTATCTTTCTCCAGGTCTAATATTCTGGTGAAGACAAAAGAGCTAAAAGAGCACCATGGCAGCTAACCCTCAGGCCAGCCCAGCGACGGAGGGAGGGAGGGAGTGTACTCATTGCACTACAACAAACTGTGAAGGAGCCTAGCTGGTACCGAAGTGTTTTTCTACACATGAAGAATAGAAGTGATGAAACAATAATGATGAACAGGATTCATCAACAACATGACCAGTAAAAACACAATAGAAGAACAAAGGTCAACAAGCAGTGAAAGGTGAAGCTACTGTATGGACACTAACTGGAGTATAATGCCATTACCTTTGGTTTGACTATTGTACGTAAGGGATAGATCAATCCCGCAATCTTGGTGTTTATTTACTCTCTCTCTCTCTCATCTTTCTTTCTTTTGCTCTCCCTCTCTGTTTCTCTCTCATCTTTCGTTCTCTCTCCTTCACTCTCATATTTATTTCTCTCCCCATCTCTGTTTCTCTCTCGTCTTTCTTTCTTTCGCTCTACCTCTGTTTCTCTCTCATCTTTCTTTCTTTCGCTCTCCCTCTCTTTCTCTCTCATCTTTCTTTCTTTCGCTCTCCCTCTCTGTTTCTCTCTCATCTTTCTTTCTTTCGCTCTCCCTCTGTTTCTCTCTCCCATATTTCTTTCTCTCTCCTTCTCTCTAATCTTTATTTCTCTCCCCCTCTCTGTTTCTCTCTCATCTTTCTTTCTCCTTTTCTCTTTCACAAAGCCTTGTGTAAGTTTTCTATTGTACTGTTAGAAACCTGTAAAAGTAAGAGTAACTATGATGTGAAGGGCGCTGGCTTGCCCACTTAGCTGCCGGACTGTGTTTGGTCCTCTGACTACTACTACTAAAGACTACTACTGATGACTACTACAAAAAAAGACTACTAATAAAGACTACTACTACTGATGACTACTACTGATTATATTATTATTATTATGACTCCTACTGATGACTTCTACTAAATACTACTACTAAAGACTACTACTGATGACTACTACTAATGACTACTACTATTGACTACTACTGAGTACCTGGAACCACAGGAGAGATCTCCTGCGTTATATCATTCCATATACATAAATACATTGACTGTGTAGTGTGTGTGTGTTTCTGTGTGTGTGTTTGCATGTGCGTGTGTGTGTGTGTGTGTGCGTGTGAGCTTGCGTGTTTGCATGGTCTCAGTTGAGGGGCTTATTCTTATCAAAATGTAATTATTTCATCCTCAGTGGAGAGACTGTTGTTGAAACCATGAAACCAGGGTATATTCATCTCCATGTATGAATCTAGTCTACCTGTACATTGTAGGTTTGGGGGGCTGAGGATATCAGTGTTGTCTAATCCTATGTGAAAATGGATTGTGCCAGGAAAACGACAGCAAAACAATCAATCATGTCAAGGCCCAGGCCTGTGTATAGATTGTGTATAAAGGACTACATTTCCCATGTACCCCCTGACATCTTTCTACTCTCCAGGAAGTTGTTTCTCTCTGACTGATGTTCAGTTATCTGATATTTATGGTTTTGTTTTGTTATTATTTTATTGTATTCCTCTATTGAAAACGAAGTCTGCTAAATGTCATGCTAAAGACAGTGTTTTAAATGGGAAGTATATGTAGGGTTCCACCACTGAAATACTGGAGGTGTTTTAGGCCATTGGAATATGAGTTAAATGATCAAATGGATACTTTCACCAATAACATCTGCCATTGTCTTTCTATTGCTGGAGAGGGAAAGTTGTGCCAGTTAGAGTCACTACTAGTTGTTACGATTCCAGGTTCTTTTAACTTAAAACTTGCTGTTGTTTATGACTTTGTTGTCTTGTGGGATAGTCACATGTTGTGATCCCTGGGGGTTATCCTAAGGGAGGGATATGGTGGGGGAGGGATGTGTGTTATTCCATGTTTTTAAGAGACAGTTTGATTCAATTTTATATGATTGATGTTCAAGTGATACATTTGTAGTCCTTTCCTTCTTTTAACAACAAGCTGGTTCTCTCCCTCTCTCTCTCTCTCTTTTGATGTACCTGTCTTCTCTTTAACACATTCCCCTAAACACAGTTTGGAAATATTAATTGAACTCTTTCCCTGCCCAGTTACCTACACCCATGCCATGGCACGCTGTGCTGTCTTGTAGGATCAGGAGGCATCCACTGTAACAGTTTTCAGTGCAGTGTTTTCAGTGAAGAGTGTTTGCGTGTGACACCTTGAAGCAGGCAGATCATTGATACTGTTTTGTTTACTGGCCAGTTTACAGGATTCTGGCCCCATCGATTGCAAATTGAAAAGAGACCTACTTAAATAAATGTATTTTAATAAAATGCATCCTTGCTCAGTGTGCTGATTTCATAGTAGCAGGCCCATAGGTCCATAACCTACATTGTAGTCTCATGAAAAGGTTCAACTTTAGGACAGGGTTAGGACCTGTGCCGCTTTCTGTGTAAGGTAGGGTCGTACTCTGCGAATGTTGTAGAGCATGAACCTGCAGGATCGGGTCACCGCTTTGATGTTAGCGGAGAACGACAGGGTGTTGTCCAGGGTCACGCCAAGGTTCTTTGCACTCTGGGAGGAGGACACAATGGAGTTGTCAACCGTGATGGCGAGATCATGGAGCGGGCAGTCCTTCCCCGGGAGGAAGAGCAGCTCCGTCTTGCCGAGGTTCAGCTTGAGGTGAGGATCTGACATCCACACTGATATGTCTGCCAGACATGCAGAGATGCGATTCGCCACCTGGTTATCAGAAGGGGGAAAGGAGAAAATTAATTGTGTGTCGTCGGCGTAGCAATGATAGGAGAGACCATGTGAGGATATGACAGAGCCAAGTGACTTGGTGTATAGAGAGAATAGGAGAGGGCCTAGAACTGAGCCCTGGGGGACACCAGTGGTGAGAGCACGTGGTGCGGAGACAGATTCTCGCCACGCCACCTGGTAGGAGCGACCTGTCAGGTAGGACGCAATCCAAGAGTGAGCAGCGCCGGAGATGCCCAACTCTGAGAGGGTGGAGAGGAGGATCTGATGGTTCACAGTATCAAAGGCAGCGGATAGGTCTAGAAGGATAAGAGCAGAGGAGAGAGAGTTATCTTTAGCAGTGCGGAGAGCCTCCGTGACACAGAGAAGAGCAGTCTCAGTTGAATGACCAGTCTTGAAACCTGACTGGTTAGGATCAAGAAGGTCATTCTGAGAGAGATAGCAGGAGAGTTGGCTAGAGACAGCACGCTCGAGAGTTTTGGAGAGAAAAGAAAGAAGGAGGACTACTGGTCTGTAGTTGTTGACATCGGAGGGATCAAGTGTAGCTTTTTGAGGAGGGGTGCAACTCTCGCTCTCTTGAAGATGGAAGGGACATGGCCAGCGGTCAAGGATGAGTTGATGAGCGAGGTGAGGTAAGGGAGAAGGTCTCCGGAAATGGTCTGGAGAAGAGCACACTCTTTGCATTATCTCAACCAGCTTCATGAGGTAGTCACCTGGAATGCATTTCAATTAACAGGTGTGCCTTCTTAAAAGTTAATTTGTGGAATTTCTTTCCTTCTTAGTGTGTTTGAGCCAATCAGTTGGGTATACAGAAGATATCCCTATTTGGTAAAAGACCAAGTCCATATTATGGCAAGAACAGCTCAAATAAGCAAAGAGAAACGACAGTCCATCATTACTTTAAGACATGAAGGTCAGTCAATACGGAACATTTCAAGAACTTTGAAAGTTTCTTCAAGTGCAGTCGCAAAAACCATCAAGCTCTATGATGAAACTGGTTCTCATGAGGACCGACACAGGAATGGAAGACCCAGAGTTACCTCTGCTGCAGAGGATAAGTTTATTAGAGTTACCAGCCTCAGAAATTGCAGCCCAAATAAATGCTTCACAGAGTTCAAGTAACAGACACATCTCAACATCAACTGCTCAGAGGAGACTGTGTGAATTAGGCCTTCATGGTTGAATTGCGGCAAAGAAACCACTATTAAAGGACACCAATAATAAGAAGAGACTTGCTTGGGCCAAGAAACACGAGCAATGGACATTAGACCGGTGGAAATTTGTACAAATTGGAGATCTTTGGTTCCAACCGCTGTGTCTTTGTGAGATGCGTGTGGGTGAACGGATGATCTCCGTATGTGTAGTTCCCACCGTAAAGCATGGAGGAGGAGGTGTTATGGTGTGGGGGTGCTTTGCTGGTGACACTGTCTGTGATTTATTTAGAATTCAAGGGACACTTAACCAGCATTGCTACCAGAGCATTCTGCAGCGATACGCCATCCCATCTGGTTTGGGCTTAGTGGGACTATCATTTGTTTTCAACAGGACAATGACCCAGCACACCTCCAGGCTGTGTAAGGGCTATTTTACCAAGAAGGAGAGTGATGGAGTGCTGCATCAGATGTCCTGGCCTCAACAATCCCCCGACCTCAACCCAATTGAGATGGTTTGGGATGAGTCGGACCGCAGAGTGAAGTAAAAGCAGCCAACAAGTGCTCAGCACATGTGGGAACTCCTTCAAGACTGTTGTAAAAGCATTCCAGGTGAAGCTGGTTGAGAGAAAGCCAAGAGTGTGCAAAGCTGTCATCAAGGCACAGGGTGGCTATTTGAAGAATCTCAAATGGGTATATTCATCTCCATGTATGAATCTAGTCTACCTGATTTGTTTAACACTTTTTTGGTTACTACATGATTCCATATGTGTTATTTCACAGTTTTGATGTCTTCACTATTATTCTACAATGTAGAAAATAGTACAAATTAAGAAAAGCCCTGTAATGAGTAGGTGTGCCCAAACCTTTGACTGGTACTGTAGGTCATTGTTTAGTTCATGGTTGTTTTCTTAATCCTTGTTCTCTTATACCTCTACACACTACACTGAAGTTTTAAATAGTCCTTTAGATGCTCGTGGGTCTGAGGACACCTCCTGTCACCTGAACTTCCTGCAGACCACCTGAACTACATTTGGCATCATCTACTGGAGATGGGTGTCACGATCGTCATTAAGAGAGGAGGTCCAAGGCGCAGCGTGATGAACGAACATGTT